GAGGGAAAAATCAAGTTAGTCAATAATAATAGTGGCCAAGAAAAATATAACAACCCAGCTAGAATGATGAAATGAAAGTGATAATATTGTTCACATACATATATATTATTTTAATAGCCTCAATGTGGGGAGGAAAAATATAAAAACAGAAGAACAAAATGTGGATTAGATCTGATCTTGTGGAATTAATAATTAGTAAGAAAAGCAGCTCTGACAAAGATGTATATATAAAACCAAATATATATTTGATTAATTAACGTGCTAATTAAGGTGTGGAAGTGCATATTAAAGGTACTAGTTGTGTAGGGGCAAGTACAATGGAAGCAGCTTGGCATTGCTTATAGCCAAAGTCACACAGAAAACTGGTTAGTAAGTAAACCTAACACTCACGAAAAAGACAACTGGTTCGTTGCAACTAAGCAAGCATGCACCATCTCCATTTTACACTATATACAACAAACTAAAACTATATATGCATTCTTAAAACTTTGCTTTTATTTCATAATTCCTATATTCTCGACTCCATTGATCAATAATAGTTTATCACAGTACAAGTATACTGTGATTAATTCAAGCAAATTCTATTTATAATAATGTTAAAAGGTTTTGAGTTCTGAAATTGTTATTTTGAAATGGACTTTATCTAATCATTAGTCTTACTCAAAATTATGTGAATGAATAATTAATCATATATAACAGAATACTTAATGTTCTCGGTTGTCTGAGAATTAAGCAACCGGCTTTGACGGCAAAATTCTAATATACTCAAGACAACAGGCCAACAGCGGCTAAAACAATAATAAAAATTAAATAAATGCATACATAAAGTGTTATCTATATTATTAAAAAGGAATTACTTCTAATAATTTATGTTATTAAAATATTGATACATATAATTAATCCATTAAAAAATAAATAAATACGATAACCATATTATTACTTGAAACAGATTTTTCTCACCGAATGAAAGGAAAAAGTGAATTAACATAATTTATTTCCTGTATCAATGGAATTTTAAAAAAAAATTAATTGATTAATAGGATGTCACTTTTCTTTTCTTTTCTTTTCTTTTTTACGTAAGTCTACATGTATCATTAATGAGAGACAATTTTTCTTGAAGTAGATATGAACAATAAAATAATCCCTTTAAATTTAATAAGATGATACTAGATTTTCTTATTTTTAGTAGCGACATCCGAGAAATCAGATGATAGGGATTGATATCTCAATTTAACCATCGATTAAACAAGTGCATAAAGCATGAACATAATTGGGTTGATCCGATAGAATCAAGCCACTTAAATTGTTCAAGTATTGTAAAAGATCTTTATAGGTGAATATGTCATGACACATTAATTGAGATGCATGCATTGAGATTGTTCATATGCTTGGTTGAGAATGTGTTGAATGGCATTGGTGTGGTGAGATATGAATGTTCCTACATAATTGAATTACTAACTGTTGCAAGGTTATTAATGTCATGATGATGAGGTGATTTGTATTGTTGAATTGTTGTGAACCATGAGGTGCTTTATTTTTTTGCTCACCTGTTGGTGTTGGTGTTGGTGATTAGTATAGTTGTCTTTGATTTTTATACTATATATGTTATATCTTTTGAATTTATTTCATACATGTTTTCTTAATGGTTGAACTACAATAATCATGAATTTCATGAGAGTAAGGTAAGATTAGTTAGAGGTGGGTTGAGGCGTTGTAAAACCATATTGGTGGATGACTTGTCACAATTTCTTTTGAAAAATCACTCTTATTTAATCAATTGTATAGGTATTGTTTGACCGACAATCTAAGATTACTTTTATAGGTTTTATATCATATAGTTAATGATACAATTTTTATCATATGTATGCATATATCTTTATGAAACCATAAACTATTTGTATATTACTCTTAGGTAGTGATAGTTTTTTTGTGCTAATTTTGATCCATAAGTGTAGTAATCACTACGAATCATTATAATAATTTTCTTTTTTTTATAATTTTCATCATTAAAAATTAGTAAGAAAAGAGATATTTTATGCTTTTATTGAAAAAGGAACCTAATTATGATTTCTTATAGTTAATTAAGAGTATAATTGTCTTTAAAAAGTGAAAATTAAAGTAGAAGATATCTATTATGTATATAATTATAAATATAAAATTATAAAATTAAACAATTGCATTTGAAATCAATAGCTAAAATCTAATGGCTTGACATCTGCTCAACCATTGTGGTAACAATCCATATAATAGAAAATTCCATGTTTCACTTTTAAAGGATGAAAAAAAATCTTCAAACCAGTCATAGTTATAAATTTGTATATGAGATTAGTATGTGATGAAGTAATATGATAGATAACTGTGGTAAAAAAAAAAAAAAAAAAA